ATTAAAAAAGGAAATATTGTGCATATCTGAGGCGCCCCGACAACGCTTCGATGTATTTTTATGTCCGCCTTTATATTAGAAGAGGCACACACAAATAACTCTAACGAATGTAGCGTTTATTCGCGCTGCACTGACAGTGCATTGCGATGCTCAAAAAGGTGTTTCCAACGCTTTGCTACGACGTCACGCCAGTGGCACCTGCCCGTCGCTTTGCATTCTACACCTTACCACCTCCGAGACTAGCGCGCATCTTTCTCCGTGGGCTGCACGCCTTCGTTTTCGGAGATAACTGCCAGATGGCACTTGTGTCTAACGTGCCTTATGTGCTCGCTCGCCTCCGCCACACGCTCGAGGCACTCTAAAGCAGAGTCTGCAGAATACCATTCTCTGATTTTCTTGCGCAGAAAATCAAATAAACATTATGTTCACTCTCTCCACACGCAAGACTATCTTCTTTCGACATTTACAGTGTAACATGTAGATTCGGGCCGTTTTTTTTTTACAAGCGGTCGTGTATGTGGAGCTGCTGTTTTGATGAAAACAGTTTACGCCACGTTGTGTCAATCGACAGCTTTGTTCAAGGATTTATATTTAAACATTGCAGCGCCTCGTAAAAGTTTGCTCGTAATCGACAGTATTTGTTTCAATTAAGAGAGCCAGAAAATCCTGGATGCTCATTTCCTAACAGATCACTTGTGTCCAGCTGTGCACGTGAATTAATGGCTGAAAATGCTCTGTGCGCTATGTGGTGCCGGCTTCTAAGCCTCTGGTACTTCTCACCAATGTGTACTTTAAAGTAGTTGTCTGAGATCATTACCCTGTTGGCTTTTCACCTCCTAAGGATCATCAATTCGGTAGGTCTTTTTTATGAGCACGGTTTTTAGTCTATTGATGATATACCAGACCTGTCTGAAGAATCATCAGGGCAGTTCATGCTAAGGCATTTTCTAGTGGTTTTGATGGGGTGGGGGAATATTAGGGATTGAAAGTGCTGGGGTTTAACGTCCCAAAACTGTGACATCATTGCGGGGAGCGTTGCAGCAGAGAGCTCCGAGTATTGCGACCGCCTGGAATTTTCCAACGTGCACCTAAATCTAAGCGAATGGTCTTTGAGAAGTGCAATCTAAAAAAAAAGGCGGCTGGTATATATAAATTTCTATATTGGTTGAACACTGCCCAGAAAAAAAAATGTTAGGGCAGAGCCACAGAACATTTCACACTGAAAACGGCGGCCATATTCTTCGGATCGAAGAATGGGACGTTAAATTACTGGGCGAATTGTTAAGCTTTTCCTTAGGAGCTGAATATATTCTCGTTTTCCGCATGGATACTTGCATGCGTAAACAGGCTGCTTCATTTCACACGAATTGCACGAGATTGTGTTTTTTTTTTCAAGATATGTAGTGACGAATTCGTAGCCTTCATCTAAAACTTCGTACATGTGCAGTCTTCACTATCGTTCCCTTTCGTTCACCTGTCCGTCTACTCATTTGACAAAAGAAATGTGGTTATTTTGTCCTCCCGTTCATTCTCATCGTGGACGCCTTCTGATTGAATAAACACTCAAGGGTAAGAACGCCTCAGCAGCCTTGACCTATATTACAGACTCATTCGAGGTGAAATATTTTGTCAGCTGGGAAGCGTTTTTTTTTTCTGAGAAATCTAAATCCATTTTTTCTTTGCTCAGCACTGCAAGCTGGTAGATGGCTATTTTATTTAACTCCTCTGTTGTAAAACGTTCATTTACAGATGGATAACTTGACCGCTTATTTTGAGGGCCCACAACGTGTTATCGACGGCCGCAAAACACTGGAAAATATCACGAAATATGGGGATAGTCAGCTTAAGACCAACGACACTATATTTTATCTGTTTACATGGTGAGCACGTATTACTTTGCTTAGGATTGCTTAGGCTAACGCACTTTTACCTACATAAATCGAATCTGCACGCTGTATGGACTGGAGATAATTGTTTTTGTAACTTTTATTTCGAAGACACATTGCAAAGGATACTACGAATGCGTAGATATCTATACAGGCCCAAATAATAATGCGCTGGTGTAAAGAGCACTGTGAGTGAGATGCATTGCTCCAAGCATGTCACAAATTGTTCTCGCTCTGCGTATTGTATATGAAGAAATACTTTTGGCTGAGCAAATGTTAAAGTATTCCAACCGTCTACTGCTTTCGGTCCAGATGTACTTTCTCGATGTCTAAGTAATGAAGGCCTAAATACTTGGAGATTTTATTTTTTGGTGCGGTAATTGTACCATTTTTTCTTTATTTTTAAATCAATGCAATGGAGTTGTATACATCTTTCTGAGGTGTTTATTTGATATAATACAATTACGAAGCATACTGTCTTACACCAACGCACGTCAACGACGTAGTACGGTGCTTAATAAAAAGAATTACACCATCTCCCGCTTAGAGAAAACCATGAGTAGACTCAAAGCAGCGGGCGCTAACATTTAGATGGCGCTGACGTTGACGCTGGAATTCATTGCGGCGTTTCATGGAAGATAAACCAGAGGAGGTGGTAAGCACGCAGTGATGGACTGGTGTTTCCTATTGGAACATGCCAATTGCTGCTAATGGACAGTGCTCTTGGGAGAGAGAGATGACTCTGATTGGACATAGACACTTGCTGTCCGCTCTTAGTTAACGCGCACGCGGCGAATGTTAATTGTTCAGCAAGGCACAGGAGATATCTCTATACGGCACTACCTCGAAAGTCAAAATTCAATCATATATATATATATATATATATATATATATATATATATATATATATATATATATATATATATATGGTGTGGCCAGTGAACGGTTGTGCAGCGCGAGCAGACGGATTTTCGAATCAAGAAACTCGCGAGAGAAGATAGAGCATAGCATGTGAGAAAGAGGAAGAGAACGCGCATGTGCCATGGGGGTGTTCACGACGCGGAAAGTAATGCCTACATGAGAGAGAAGAAGGAGTGAGCATAGATTAGTAGAAGCGCCCTGCGTCGGCATAGTGATGCGAGAGAGGGAAAGCGTAGGAGAGGTGAGAGAGGTGGAGCGGATGTACATGCGCAGTAAGGGCGGTCACGCAGCACACCGGATTTAACGCTACCCTAACCTGCTGCACATATAAAAAATTCAGGCATCTCTAAGAACTAAATGATGACGAGTAGGTAAAGCGAGGTCCTAAGGTCCCAAAGTGTACGTTGAAGCCGGCGACTAATATAAAAGACGCAAGCACGCGTGAATGCACACATGCACGAACGCATGAACTGACGTACAAGTGACAGCAAGAAAGGGGCCACGAACGGATGCACAGAAGGACGGACGGACGGAAGGTTGGTCAGATGGAAGGGCGTGCGAATGGACAGACGAAGAGATGCAAGAATCGTTGGACAGATGAATGGGTGGGTGAACAGATCCACGGACAGAGTACGGTATGGTTTTCAACTGCCATGCGACGCAACTTGGAAGGCTGTTCGGGTCACTCAGCAGTTACTAGGCAATGACGTGGCGAGTATCGTGCAACAACATTGCCTTCCTCTAGGCTTATGTAACAGGTATGCTTTTAAATACATGCGCGTTTGCGGCCGCACTAATGTCGGTACTGACGCTAAAGTGACATCAGGTCGTACTGGACTATGGCCGCTTGGCACTACTGGTGCTCAGCTTGAAGGCAGTGCTAAGTTATTTTCCTTCCTTTCTTATGTTTTATCGCCCTACTTACTGCTTTGTGCGTGCCTTTGTTTTGATAGCCTTCTCTTTCCCTCTTTCTTTCTCTTAAGTTCTCTGCTGCCTCCTTATTATTTTCTCAATTAATTTCTCTTTCTCTTTATAATTATCTGTGATTTTATTTTTTTCTGTTCTTTTGTAGATATATATCTCTGCTTACATCAAACTTGCAATTCCTTCTATCTTTACTTGCTTATTTCTTTCTATTTATTTCTTTCTTTCTATTTCTCGTTTTCTCTCTCTTACTTTCTTGCTCTGTTCTGTCGCTTTCTTGATGTCCAGTTTTTTCTGTTTCTCTCTCTGCTTTCTTTCTATCTCCCTCTTTGTTTCTTTATATTTTTATATTTATGTCATTTTCTCTCTGCCACGTGATTCACAAAGGCCACTTTGAGAAGCATAATTTTAAGTCAGTATTTACTCCTGGTGTACTCGACAGTCGAGGTTGTTTCATTCCTGTGTTGCGTATTCCCATGGTTTCTTTTTCTTAGCACTTTTTCTTTTGCCCGGAAGATGTACCATCGAGGCCTAGCTTGGATCAATAATTCTTTGCTGAAATATTGAAGTATATTATTAAACTTTATTGCAAACCAACGCAAACTACCAAGACGTACAAACCCTTCACATTCTAAAGAAATGAGACGGGAAGCTTTGCATAACATAGTGTCCTTTATTTCGAAAACTGTAGGCCCGTGTGCTCAGATTTCTGTGCACGTTAAAAAACCCCAGATTGTCGAAATTTCCGCAGCCCTCCGCTACGGTGTCTCTCACAATCAATCAATCAATCAATCAATCATTCAATCTATCAATCATTTAAGTGTCTCAAAAACGTTTCAATGCATTTGCGTTTTCTTGTCCGCTGTTTGGCATAACAATAAGAGCAGTAGGTTTCCGCGTTTTCATTAAAAGCCGCTACAATAAACGCCTTGGGCATGGCGCCGTTGGTATTGATGGCATAAATTCTTGTTGGAAGTTGCTGCAAAAAGTACAAAATTTTGTATTATTGTGCCAACTTTCTTTGTAATCTTTATGAGAGTGCGAGTGTGACTTCTTTCTGTAATTAGTCACTCTGTTCCAGCCTTGTCCCAGCCATCGTGGGATTTTAAAACTAACTTCAGAGTAATTTTTTATTTTGTGTCCAGGTTTTTTCTTTCTTGAAATGTTTGGCAACAAGCAGCAATGCACTTCGATCAGCATTAAACATTCTGTACATGTTTAAACTTTTATGTCACGCACAAATTGAAGTGCACGTTTTATTTATTTCTCTTCCAGGCCTCCAAAAGAGGGAAATAGCCGAAGGCTCTTCGACGAGGTTAATACAGCCCCTCCTCACCGAAGTGGTGTCTCAGGTGGGCACGACATTGTTTAGGTTCTGCGTGGATTCGGCTGAGTTGACTCTTATGCGGAAGCTATAATTTTCTTTTCTGCCGATGTACTGGTCCTGCTTTGCCAATTTGCGGAAGCTATGAGCGTGAAGCATAGTGTTGCACTGTGTCTAAATGCAGAGAACCCTGACCTTTTTGTTTCACTGTCTTCGTGATCAGCTCATTTTTGACACAGCTACTACATCATACGATGATATCTTCGTGTGACTACTACGTATTTCAAAGTCAGCCAGATCTGTGCAGTCATCCCGGGATAATCGTTTGCACAAATCGTGCTGTGCCCGACGACACCGATGCAGAACGTGCACGGCAACGGTGAATTGTCCCGTTTCATCAGGAATTTTAGGCTTTCGTCTTAAAAGTTTTCATTGATCATACGTACTATAAAATTAAAGTCATGCGAAGCTGCAATTATTTACTTTGACATACCATTTGGTTTGCAACCTAGCGTGACGAAGCTGATTAACTTCCTTGTTCATTTACACAATAACTTGTGTATGCGACACTTCGTTACAAGCCACGTCGAAACCTTGAGGCTTATACGATACGTCATACTTCAACATAGAGCCGGCACACAAGTTTGAGCGCAGATGTCACTTCCATGGTGGAGTTAAGAACTTTAGCGCTGACGTGTACGTCATGAGCAACATTACATAAGTTATTTCTGCGTAATCAAGCAATACTTGCCTGGAACGTGGTAAATGTCCAGAAAATATATATCATTTATTGAAATTCTTTAATAACAACAGCCCACACTATGCACGGCAGTATCATAAGAAGCAGGTAGCAAATATTATTACGCCGCTTGCACTTAGTTGAACCGAGATGTGACATCACTACCGATGTGAGGAGGTGCTGGCCAATTTATAACCCATACAAACGTGCAATGCCAGTGATCTCTTGCCCATATTTTCACGTGATAACGAGTTCTTTAGCTAGATCTAGCCAACACTTACAAACAGCCTTTATTGCGCAGCGGCAGCAAACAGAAAGTCAACATCAACAAGCACTAGTTGTAAATATAGATAGATTGTATAAGCGTGTTAGTGGGACAAACGAAGGGTTCGAAGCCAGCATTCCTCGATACGTGAGGTGCAGTACATGCGTGCGCACCACCTAACTCCCCCCTCCCCTGATCACCCCACCTTTTTCTAGGACCTGCGGCAACTCACATTTAACCCCTCGTTATTTATTGAACGCAATTAAGTTTAATGAAGGCGCACATTTCCAAAAACCTGTATACCATAAAAACAGCAGTTCTTTAGTACCAGTTCTCAAATTAACGTCTATTAAACATGCAAGAATTTACATTTAGGACACCGTGATGCTACGGAAATATTCTTCAGTACCAGTTTACAATAGCGAGCACTTTCACGTAAAAGAGGTTACGTTGCAAAGTACACGATATACTGTTAACACAAAACATCTTGCGAGAAATTTTATGCGACCATCACATTGCGCCCCAGTCTTCTTTTCTTCACCCTTCTTTCTTCGACACGATTCAGTAGGGTACGCTCATTGCATGCACTAATCAGCCAGGTGTGACGCAGCAACGAAAGCACAGTTTTTCACTTTTTCGTCCTTCTTGCCGCTTGACGCTACCTTGCGCAGTTCCAATACACCATCTATTTATGTGCGCTAATAAATGCGAAAATTTGCGAAAGACATCACTTGCCATGTGACCCCGGTTGGAGGTGGATAGAAGAATCTTTGTGGTGCATTGTAATCATTCACGCGCATGAATAATTACAGAACGCAAAGATTGTGGTGACTGAGGCAAAACGCGTCTATTTCGCTCGTTAGAAAAAAGAGCTTTTACCCACCACCCACCAAAAAAAGTAGATATTTTGACAGTGTACGTGTCGGACTATCTTCCCTCGTTCCAACTTTGAAGTTTTTGAAGCATCAGGTTTGTGTCTCTGAAACGCACGGATTAGTTTGCTCGGAATCATGCATTCTAAATGCCCTGTGCATTCAGCGCTGAATAAGCTATGAGTTTGTAATGATACCCCCTAATCGTGTACATGTTTCATTTGTAGGTGAACATTTTATTCACCTACAAATGGGGGATAAGAAATGGAAACATTGATAGTCACAAAACGTGATATTGAGACAGCAGAAAATTTGATTAAGGCAAACAAAATGTACAAGAATAGTCAACATTGTTCATAGCGGCAAAGCTCCAGCGTATATATTCAGAAAAGAGCAGACCAAATGGAGTCTTTCGGGAAAGTACTTATCACTCCGTGTGCATACGTATGCTTACGCTTCAAAATAAAGCTGCAGACAGTGCGACAGGTGAAGCGTGCCCGAAAAAAAAAAACACTGAAGGAAGAACCATGCTTCCGTGCTACCGTTCCCAAGCGGCACTTGGCTGTGCCAATCATGGGCGTAACGACTGGTTCGAAATGTGTCGCGGAAAATAGGCTGAAAGAAAAAAAAGCGCATATCCCTTCTTTCAGGGACACCTGGGTTGGTGGGGCATAGATAGAGGTGTTTTAGAGAACGGGAACCCCTTCGAATAATGAGTAATCGTAGACGTGTTTCTCCTAAAGTGAACCCATCTGTGTGGGATACCATACCTGGTAGCACTTCACTCATAAGCCGGACTATGAAGTCTAGCAAGCAGTCGAAAAAAGGGGGAAGGTCAGGTCTTTACTTCTGGGCTTGGGTTGTGCTTGAAATGTCTGTATTTCTCAAATGCTACTAACTTGGTCATATCACCTACATGTACGACCAGCACATATAAAGATGCACGTGCAACTCCCCAGGCTTTTCCTTTGTTGAGACCAAAATGCGCTTCCTTTGTTTTGTTCAGGCCCCACCGCGGTGGTCTAGTGTCTAAGGTATTTGGATGCTGACCCGCATGTCGCGGTTTCGAATCCCGGCTGTGGCGGCTGCATTTCCGATGGAGGCGAAAATGTTGTAGGCCCGTGTGCTCAGATTTGGGTGCATGTTAAAGAACCACAGGTGGTCAAAATTTCCGGAGCCCTCCACTACGACGTCTCTCATATTCGTATGGTGCTTTTGGGACGTTAAACCGGCCATATCAATCAATTTGTTTTGTTCAGGTTAAACACTTCTTCATGGTTCAAAAGGCAACAGTGACACAGTAAAAGGAAGGCAAGCCCCTCACTGCAATATCTCATGAAATTGGACTTTAATCAGAATGTTTCACAAGTTTGCAAAACGCAGAATAGACAGCGATAACAACTTTTGCTTTATGACCAGACTGTTTGATTTTCCTGAGCAGTAGCTGTAAAAAAAGGCGTGTCAAGGCTTACAAGACTGTGTACTTTTACGAATGTTTACGTTAAAGAAAAGAAAACGTTGATTGATCAATTGATTGATTGTCTGATTGATTGATTGATTGATTGATTGATTGATGGATTGATATGAGGGTTTTAACGTCTCTAAACCACCATATGAGAATTAGATGCCGTAGTGGAGGGCTCCGAAAATTTCGACCACCTGGTTTTCGTTAACGTGCAACCAAATCTGAGCCCATGGGCCTACAGCTTTTTCGCCTCATTCTAAAATGCAGCCACAGCAGCCGGGATTCAATCCCGCAAACTGCGGGTCAGCAGTCGAGTACCTTAGCTACTGGACCACCATGGCGGGGAAAAGAAAACTTTAAAAATTTGGATGGTGGGGGTGGTGGTGGCGAAGTTGCCCCGGGCGAGGTCATCATAATGGACCTAGCCGGTAATTGCTCCGCCTGAGTGAGGCTTTCCATGTAGTTCAGCGCACCACACAAGCCTTAATCCTGCCTCCTGTAGAAAACGTAAGAGTATGTTAGTCACTTTCTTCCGCATAAGCCGCACATCTGCCGCAATTCCAGAAAAAATGTTTTCCCAATCAGTGGAGGAAGCCTCTTTGCTTCATACTGGGCATCAATGTATCTCTTTCACAGCAAAAGCGCATGCACGACCGGAGATGGTGCTCAATATCTACGACTTCATTGCATTCAGTGCACAGTGGGGCGTGAGTGCCACCGATTTTAAATAAACGTGCAGTAGCGTAGGCCGATCATGTTCTTATTCTGAATAGCAGGGTTGAGTCGGCTCTACCAAGTTCTCTTGTGACACAAGCCCGAAGAAGCGAGTTCCATAGAGAATGGAAGTGGCATCGATTAGTCTGCTTGCGTAGGCACTCTGATTTTAGTTTGTGTTGAACGTGCTTTGTTGGTTAAAGCATCTGCCTTTTCATTACCACTGACACCAACATGTGAAGGTATCCTCTGGAAAGTTATGTTGAGGCCTTTTTTTTGGTACTGTCTTTCAGTATTGCCTGTGAGTGGCGGTAGATTTTGTTCGTGGGAGTCGCTCAAGAAAGTTGGTACATTGTCGACTCGACAGAAACACAACTTGTTACGTAGGTCTATCCAGTTTGCGAAAAGCAGCAGCAATAGCTGTGCTCTCCGCCACTGTCGAAAAAACTAGGTGGTTCAACCGGTCAGACCACGCAGCTTCAATATGTCAAATCAGTCAGCATAAAAAGAGTTTTATGAAAATAATAAAAATACAAGGAATATTCAAACTGATAGTCTCAAGTGGCTCGTGGCTGGTTCAATACAATATGCACAGAGAATGCGCAGGTCAGCTTTGAAGGGAGATACAGAAGTGGTGATAAATACAAGATATACACGTAGCCCCGCCGCGGGGGTCTAGGGGCTAAGGTACTCGGCTGCTGACCCGCTGGTCGCGGGATCGAATCCCGGCTGCAGCGGCTGCATTTCCGATGGAGGCGGAAATGTTGTAGGCCCATGTGCTCAGATTTGGGCGCACGTTAAAGAACCCCAGGTGGTCTAAATTTCCGGAGCCCTCCACTACGGCGTCTCTCATAATCATATGGTGGTTTTGGGACGTTAAACCCCACATATCAATCAATCAATCAAGATATACACGTATACATTTTCTCTTGCGAACTAGAAAACTTGTGAGGTTGCAAGTAGCCTCCTGTGCACAGCACTCACTAGAAAAAGAAAGAACACAATGAAAATAACTTGAAACATATGTACGTGTGCTCACATGTATTGTCTCAATAAAAAAATGACTTGAATGCTAGGCCTAGATTTTGTGCAGTTTTTATCACAACTGGAATACCGTTCCATATTTTTGTTCCATTAAATTCTATCAGTGTTTCTCCATGAGTATTGTAGCATTTGGGCAGATTGCATTTCTCATTAGAAGCATGTCACGTATTGCGAATAGAATTTAAGAAAATATGAGAAGGCAAATGTGAATTTTTTAAATATGTAATTTATTCGCGGAGCAATTTCTTTGTCACGCAACATTTCAGCCGAGAGAATGCGTTGTGATTAAAAATTATTACTTACCGGCTCACTTTGGAGGTTTTAGGGGCTCCAATTGGGCCAGGGTTAGCAATAAATGTTAATAGAGAGTATCTTAGTAACCTGTGATTCGCGGATGACATTGCCGGGATGATTAACTGGGTGGACGAATCACAGCTGATGATTACTGAACGGCAAGCAGAACAATAGCTCTGAAGGTTATTATGCGCACTATAAAGTAATGTGCAACTGTCTCAGCAGAAAACATCGCTTTGCGATAAGCGAAGAGACGCTGGAAGGCACTGTGAACTATGTAAAGGATTGTGTATTCTTAGGACAGGTTGTAACCACGGAAGCGAACCATGGGAGTGCAATAACCAGAATAGGGATTGCATGGACCACATTCGGCAAGCATTCTAAAATCATAAATAGTAATCTATCACTAACCTTCAAGACGAAGGTATATAAGAGCTCCATCTTACCGGTACTTAGCTAGGGAGCAGAAACCTGGAGGCTTGCAAAGAGTGTTCAGCTTGAAATGAGGACGATGCAGCGAGCGATGGAAAGAAAAATCATAGGTGTAATCTTAAGATACAGGACGAGAGCGCAGTGGGTCAGGGAACAAGCAAGCGTTAAGGATATCACAGTTAAAATCAAGGAGAATAAATGCACATGGGCCGGGAACGTAGCGCTTAGGCAGATAACCGCCCGCCGGTCATTAAGGGTAACTGACTTGATTCTCAGTAAAGGCAAACGCATTGAAGGGAGACAGAAAGTTTGGTGGGCGATGAGCCTAGGAAGCAAACGTTACAAAAGGAAGTGTTGGGCTAGTTTCTTTTTTATGACTGAGAATAAAATGCGCTACAATCGCTGCGGACAACGAAGTTAGGAATTGTAGCGCAATTTTTTCTCAGTCAAGTTAGGCAGCTCGCAGGTATAACGTGACAGCCGAAAGCACAAGACTGGGTTGATTAGCGGTTCATGGGAGAGGCATTTTCTCTGCAATGAGCTTATTCAGATGGATAATGATGATGATGATGATTGTCCTGCTTGAAATCTCGCAGTAACGTGCCCAACAATCAGTCCTTATTTACACGAAAAACACGTTCCTAAGTGAGAGTTTCTTTGACCTAATTCTCACAGCCACTCTGGATTCGTCTTCACGAAAGCCGTTTTAGTGAAAGTGGCTTAAATTGGTGAGTCAATGCAGTTCGGAGATATTGTGCCCATTTATCATCTGAGATTTTTTTAATGTTTTAACTTCTAGTCATTTTAAGAAAAGTCAGGCAAGATGCGAGGAGAGCCGTTTGGTGAACAGTGCACTGTTATCATGCTCAAAATGATTCCTTATGGGAGTAACAGTTGCGGGACTTTCAGAAATTTTAATTAAAAAAATGTTCATGAAACATATATTTACCTTTTTGTGGAAAAGCTTTTGAATAGATTAAATTAGGGAACAATTTGGCAATTGCTTTACACGCATCCATTGCTACTTGTGGTTCCTTTTACTACCCTCGGTTCAAATTGGCTGTGGCACTATCCGGACGTAATTACCAGTAACACAAGCGCACAAAACGAGCTGCATTCTGCGTCATGTCACTGTCAATGGGCGAGTGCGCGTCCATTGAATTAACAGTTGCGGCAGTTCATTTTGCTGAGGACGCCACTGTTTGAATTGTTTTGTATATAAAGCAGATGCCAGTTGGAACTAGAATGTGCTTACTTCGAGATTTATGATTGTTCATTTGCTTGTTCATGTGTGTTTTCGTCTGACCGCTTGTGTGAACGAGTTTTATTTGTTTTACCTGTAATTGTCTGCGATTATTCGCTGGGGGCGTTGGTGGCAGCTTTGGTGTCAGCCAGCTGTTTTTGATATGTGAAGCCATGAAAGCGTTATGTGTCACTCTGTGGCTCATATGCCAGAAAACACGTGACTGTGAAGTATCACGATGCTAAAAAATGGTCTGCCCAAGGGCTTTCAGGAAATAAAAAAGTTACCGGCAATTGACAAGTCCTGTTGCCTCCACCCTGATCAACGCTCGGCCGCTGCGCATCGCCCCTGGCAGCACCAGTTGCAGAAGTTACCCAATGAGTGTTTAGAAAAGGCTATGAAAGGCCGCTCTTATAGCTTTCGCTGTGACTGTGCTGCACCTTCCGCGCAGGCCTGCCGTTTTTGTTTTGTTTTGTTTTGTTTTAGCAGGGAGGGAGGGCATGGCGTTTGTTTGCAGCTTCAGAAAATTCACTACTGGCTGTTACTAACGTCCACTTGATTTGAATCGTTCATGCATGGGGATCCCTTCGTTGATTTTGATCTGAAAACAGATAAAAATACGGGTGTCATCATTGTTATCCAGCACCTGGAGTAGCATGATACGCTACAAGCCATGGTAGTTCCAGCTTACCTATATATTCCTAATCCTATTTTTCATGTACTATTTATACTCACCATATAAAAATACATGCTACTTCAGCACCTGGTACGTTTCTTGTTAACTGCTGCACAATCTGTGCATGAGTGTCTGGCGCTATAACACGTCAAAGTCCATAAGTATTGTTGTTTCTCCGCAGAGGTTGCAACAAATGGAACGTTTTGCAGCAACTTGACTAGTGCAGCTTTCGTAAGGCACAAGTATAAGAACTATAATATATGGAGCACCGTCAAAGCAACACTTACCACGTGAGTAAGCTCAAAATATACACTAATTTGTTCAAGGCTGAATTACTTATATCTTACGCCTAATACAAGGTTAATTCACTGAGAAGGCGTTTATTGGAGTTACGTTTCTGAGGTGGTTTTGTGAATGCGACAGGACGAGTCACCGCAGGACACCGTGTAGGATGATGATGATGATGATGATGATGGCCTCATGCATGACTAACAACCACTCTGCGGGATGTGCCAAGAAACGACTACTTAGATAGGGGGAATCGCATTATAAATGCAAATCTAATCAATTAGATGCCAGCAACCAGCAGCACGCGGCGTGAGCACTGCACCCGAGCCTCCACGATACTGCTGACCGGAGAGGCGTCATCGTCTTCATAATACCTATAACTAGGTATATATCAAACACTTCTGAGCAAATAATCTGGGCCTTCCCAAAGTTTGCCTCAGCCCCAATATGTAGTTAGCATCCTTGCACGCTGTGCCCGCCAGTCCGAGCATCACAACTAGGTTTTGCAAGTATCGCGTGGCCAGTGATAAAAATCTACCCACCCGTCTATACTAACCCCTTCCTGTAAGAGTTGTTTGGTCTGAAAAACACTGCTACTTATAGTGAAAAGATTCAAATGGTAATCAAGGGGAGATGGCGAAAACTAGACACGCATGTTCACTTGCTTTGTGAAAAATATGTTGTAGGACTAACTAATACGTTCGTAGCTGATAAGTACATAGCCAAAAAAGATCAGTAACTGAGCGCTTTCAAAAGCCTGCTTGCTTAATGATCAGTGAAAAACAATGGAATGATACATTATTTGTGTCCTTTTAACACAAATGGGTTTTATGCTGGAGTGCACCACAGCTCCACTCATGATGTCGCAAAATAGAGTGATATACATTATTAGATGGGAAAATAAAAAAATAAAAATGTGTCTGTCAACAAATCTATGGCCCCTGACTCTACGAACTCTGCCTCCGCAGCGAATCTACGACCCCCGACTCCATAGTGGTTGGCATAAAAATTTGGCCTCAAAACCACGTTCTTTCTAATAGCTAGCTATTTATATGCACTGCTTAGCTTTATGGTGCTCCGAGTTCAGTGGTTTCAGCTTATTTCATTTTATTATATTTCGTAAATTTACATATACCAATGTTTTTGCAGCTAGCATGCTCCGCAGTGAAACTCAAAAGCATGCAGGAGGAATACAAATAAACTTCATATGCGCCCTGCTGAGAATGTGGTGTTACCTTTAATTTCACAATCTTTGTTTTCGAAATTAAAGCCTAAAAAAAGGCATTGCTTATGTGCTCATCAGACAGTTATACGTAAGTCATTGTTTGATCTAAAATTTATTCATGCAGGTTTGGTTCGCCACACTTTATAGTTTTCGCTGAGGAAGACTACCACAAGATGAACGAAACTTTCATGTACGTAAGCAGTTTTTCTAACTCTGTGATTGTGTTACACTTTATATAGACAAATATAATTAGTACCATACCCATATACACAGTATATCACCTACTTTTACGTAAGAGTGTGAAGGCCCCACCACGATGGTTCAGTGGCTAAGGTACTCGAATGCTGACCCACGGGCGGCGGGATCAAATCCCGGTGGTGGTAGCTGCCTTTTTGATGAAGGTGAAAATGCTGTAGGCCTTTGTGCTCAGACTTGGGTGCACCTTAAAGAACCCTAGGTGGTGGAAATTTTCAGAGCCCTCCATTATGGCGTCTCTCATAATCATATCTTGGCTTTGGGACGTTAAACGCCACATATCATATCAACATATAACTGTGGACATTTTTATTTTAGGTAGTTTCGCTGCCACTAACGGCAAAGAGTTAACACTGCTCAGTTAAACTGGCACATGGGCGTGGGAGGCGCTTACAGTGCGAAGGTAATACCTAATAAAGCTATCTTCAAATCAATGTGTAACTCCTCGGTTACTTCTCCAAATGAAGCAGCTGGGTTATCGAACGAAATGCCTTCGTAGGTCGGTGCAAATGTTATAGAGTATATAGATCAGTACATAGGCAGATCGAGTTAGGAAGCAGTTCTTACACAAAAATTGCACTTTGGTATAATCTATCTATCTATCTATCTATCTATCTATCTATCTATCTATCTATCTATCTATCTATCTATCTATCTATCTATCTATCTATCTATCTATCTATCTATCTATCTATCTATCTATCTATCTATCTATCTATCTATCTATCTATCTATCTATCTATCTATCTATCTATCTATCTATCTATCTATCTATCTATCTATCTATCTATCTATCTATCTGTCTGTCTGTCTGTCTGTCTGTCTGTCTGTCTGTCTGTCTGTCTGTCTGTCTGTCTGCCCGTCCGTCCGTCCGTCCGTCTGTCTATCTATCTATCTATCTATCTATCTATCTATCTATCTATCTATCTATCTATCTATATATCCATCTATCTATCTATCTATCTATCTATCTATCTATCTATCTATCTATCTATCTATCTATCTATCTATCTATCTATCTATCTATCTATCTATCTATCTATCTATCTATCTATCTATCTATCTATCTATCTATCTATCTATCTATCTATCTATCTGTCTATCTATCTATCCATCTATCTATCTTTCGGTGTCTCTTATCTTTTGTGAGCTTCGTAATTTGCTTTGATGCTTAATTTGAGATGAGGTTGACTGCAGTATATCGGGCATCATAAAAAATTTTAGCACTCGTCAACAGTGCTGAAACGGGTATTCCTGATTCTTATGCGCGAAAAGTACGCTGATCACGTAGATGCTTATAGTTATACATTAACAACTTCTCCAGTGCTGGTCAGGAGCACTAGTAGTACCAGTGAAACTACAACCCGTTTGAAGTCAGTCCAACCAAGCACATCGAAGCTGAATAACTTGCCGGTGTTCTTGCTGCAGTATGAGTAATTATCCACGAAAACTTTCACCGTGGTCAATAGTGAGCAATTCGAAGGCAGCTCTGCCATTTTTGCTACCAACGTTGCAGCACAAATCACACGAGCCACTCATCTTCTAGGTTAAGGATCCACTTCATACTTCGTTCGAGAAAGAACATCAGGTGACATCTCAATGGTTGCCAGGTCGCGAGCGGTTAGAGAAAACGAAAAACTCGACGGTGCAGATTGGTTGACTCGTCAGGGTTTCAGCCTCGATACCATACCTTTACCAAGGACCGAAGCAGCCAGCCATGTTCGACTGGCTAGCAACATTGCGCTCTCTCCACTAAAGATACAGCAAGCAGCTTGTACAGGCAGCGCTACGGCTGCATGAAAATTTTACTTGAGACACCTGCTGAACTGCGCTGAAATGATGACACTCTGTTTTACAATTCATGGGGAACAGTGGCTTTCACAAAGTATTTCTCCTTTCGAATTGGTATGCCTGTCAAAAGGTTTTCGAACAACTGTGGTAGCAAGGAGATATTACGGCATTTTTTGCGACTTGTCCACTGTACAATATGCAGGTTAAAATCACTCGAATTCACAATATAACCCACAGATCTTAGACCGTGGGCATCTGAAACCTTGTAAAACGTCGTCCTGCGAAATCATCGCAGGTGGAGGCCATGAAAGCACTGCTGAAGCCCTTGATTGTATCGGACTTGGACCGATGGTTATACGCTAATCACTTCATCATGGCTAGAAAGTGTGGGACCCTGTGCGTGTGTTTTCCCGTTTCTTTCTTTCTCTTTCAAGTTGCCCTATTTTTTTCCTCGAATGTGCGGTAGCATATCAGTCTGTTTAAAGGGGTCAACATCCTTGACTTTCTTTTTCCTCCAGTTGCATCCTTTCTCGACATTGAGTTGAAAGATATGGGATCGTAATATGATGATAATTTATTGCATCAACGTCCTTGTGGTCAGGGGTTTTTTCCCTAAATTGTTTCGATTCCAGAGACCTGCATCTACTTTGGTTCAGAACTACAGCCTTCCAAATGTGTTAAAACTCCCCTTTTTAAACCATGTCTTGAACAGTATATTAGCTACTTCCCATCTTGTTTCGTTCTTCATATTGAACCACATACTGGCGTGGCTGTCAAAGGTTCAGATTTCAAACCTTACCTTAAGCCGGCGTCTGTTCTGTCTAGAGAACTAAAACGCGATTCCGGGGTTTGAATGTTTTCGTGTTAAGACGTCACTCCATTTATGACATCAGAGATAAAAAGAAGAAAGTAGAATGTGCTCCGAATAAAAAAGAGCTGTGAATTTCCAAAAAACTTGACTCCGATAAAAACCTATTTTTCACCAAAACGCAAACTCCTAAAAACACCCTTTTTATTGCAGCAAAAATAAACTCCGAAAACTCGTAGTATAATACACTGATCTTGGCAGAGGAGAGTTGTGTTACGTAGGGTGAGGCGTGAAAACAGAATGAACCAAGCTCAGGATAATGGGGCCAGCATATGATAAAAATACTCAGATAGCGTTTGACCTTCATTTTCAACAGTGCATCACACTAGCGCAATCGGGTACTGTTCGTACTCTCTTGTTTCTCAGTTCCATACCACGCGCTGTTTTGGTGTGTTTGTAGAATAGGCCGTCCTGAACCTTCTTAGGTTGCTTACTTGAAGTTTATTGGCGTAGTACTCAATACATCGCGTTTCAATATTCTGTAGATAAGTTAAACACATATATATGGATCAGTGGGGTCATAGACGCTTACGAACAGTTGCTAATTTTTTTGATGCTGTAGCATATGGTGATGAATATTCTCTTAGTGCTTTCTGCTAGATAGGCCTGAAATCACCCACACGTCACGCAATATACATGGTGTAACATCAGATTGAACTCTAAAACCAATTAATTCGCAAGTTTGCTCCAATGAACCCAAGTACAATATCACAGCTTCAAACATTTAAAGCGATTCATGAAGCATGTGGACCATTTGGGTGAATTTTTGCATCTCTTCTTCGTCGACATCTTCAAGTCTGGTGTCCATCGTAGACCGTAGATCCTTCTGTAATTTGCCCACAAAAACTGGGTATGTCACTAGAAATATGTGCCACTCCCCCCACCACTCCCACAACTAACTCCTACGCCCACTGCTGTTCTTGCCATTCCTACAACCCGTTCGACCCACTTCGTTCCACTTCATTCTCACTTCATTCTTACTTCAGTGTGTTTGATAAAACACCACTTCACGCAAACAGCTTCCCCGTTTCATGAATGTTCGCGAAACGAAGCTGTGAAAAAAGTTTTAGGAGCATGCTCGCCAAGCTTGTGATTCTCGGGGCTTGTCTTTTGGTGTGTACGCTAGTTTGATGAACAATGTACTGACTACACGCCTACTGCAATTTCCATAAATTATGAAAGCACCCATTATGCAACTATACCATTCGTAATTCTTCTGATAAGCGACATACCAACTACACATATGTATGACATTATGTGAACCATGTGCTCTGAAACAGGCTTGCCAACAGATCGACCCCGAAGTGTGCTCTAGAAGAAGAAGCGGCACGAGAGCAGTGGCAGAAGCCTCGACTCAGGATCTGTATCGAGATTGCCTTTTTCAACGTTTAACTGCATTAACTAAATTAAGATCACCTCGCCACATACTTTAACGACCGAAAATTGTAATCTTCAAAGAAAAACACCTCGCACAGCTGTCTAATCCGTAATGCAATACTTGTATGTTATCGCATCGGTATGTGAATGATTGCATCTTGTGTATAAATAAGTGTCTGAAATTGCATCAATATATAAATTACACATGATGTATATGTGTATATGCAATCAGGCCCATTACAACGTCTCATGTCTTTATATGATGATAGAGAATTTGTACGCAGCACCTACGAGTTCTTCCAATGAGCTCCAAGCAAGCTCCTTGATCATCGGTCAATAGATGGCAGAATGTTTAGGGGCAAAGCTCCTTAAGGCGTACGTTTGTCCACCGTAGTTGTCTGCCGTAGCCACCCCTAGTACGCTAAGAGCTCAATTGATGGCGCTCGCATCGCTAGTACTCGCGTTCATCATTAGATGGCGTGGAGGCGTGTGCTGCGAATGACTGCCAGACCGACGGATGGAGGACACACAGACAGAGAGACAGATGGACGTATGGACAGAGAGACAGACGGGCAGACATACGGGGCAAGTTCCTTCATCATCATTCACTTCGTGATTATGGTGTATCGACTGGGCTAAATTCACCGAGTATTTAAGGTTTCCCGATGTACCTCCGGAGCTTCACGTTCTCATCATTTACTCCGTAGATATATGCTGTAATTTTTCCCAACAATTGGTGCATTTTATTTCGCCTCAAATGAATGACGGAAAGCAGGAGAGAGAAGATTGGCTGATATGTTAAACGAGTTCACAACAACAGGTATGCCCCATTTTACAGGGGAAGGGGATCACGAATCTCTG